CATATTACGTCCATTTACGTCCCGTAATTAAATATTTTCGTCCTACTTCCTATGACTGGATATACCACTTTCAATATTTGGGTATCTTTCCCGCCAACTTCACTTTTTCAGCGGGAACCAATTACGAAATTAATTTTAATTATACATATTATATATCAAAACTGATCTCCTAATTACGTCCAATTTCGTCCCGTAAAAATTTTTGGAATCGGATATAACCAGCAAGAGTTATGGACTGTCAAAGTTTTGGACAGTACCACTTGTGGACCAATATTTTTTTTCCCCAAAAACCTACCATGTTATATATCAAAACACGTCTACTTTTTGTCAAGAGCTTAAATCTGATAGAATTATTTAAGTCCAATCTGTCATTTTGGACTTATTGCAGTTTGTTGTTCTTTCATGATGATTCTCAATCAGTTTCCTTTACTTGAGTTATATGCTCTTTTCTGACGAAATAAATCTTCTTTTGCAGTATAGACTACACAGCTAAATACTACTGGAACAGAAGAATTAAATACTTCACTCAATGTTTAGAGTCTGAATTATATTTCAATCTTCTTTTGCAGTATAGACTACACAGCTAAATACTACTGGAACAGAAGAATTAAATACTTCACTCAATGTTTAGAGTCTGAATTATAACTAGCTTTATTTCAAATTTGTCTGCTCTATTTATATCAAAAATTACATGAATGTTACATACAGTTTCATCAACTATTTGACTATCATAAATCATATGAATTATTTTATGACTTCTGTCAAGCTATTAAACATAAATTGATCATCTTTTTATTACCAAGTATTCGGTGTAAGCTATTAAACTGACAATCGTGCATTAACATGTTTATACTCGTTTTTGACCTAATACTTACAGTTTTGGTTTACAATATTCAACACAGTTCCAGTTGCATCTCGTACCTGAACATCATCAAAGTTTCAAAAATTTACTAGGACCATATTGTATGTCAAAATATATTTATTTTTTCTCAGTTTTCCTAATCGGAAGGAATTTTTTAGATTATTTCACCATTTTAAATTTTTCGCAGTTCCTGTGCATTCTAGCCTTGTACCTGAGCATGTCCAAAAATTCGAAAAAAAATTAAAAATTAAAAAATAATCATTTTTTAATCCTGATGGTAGATTAGGTTATCGAATCTCAAAATTTTTAAAAACTTTTAGAGTATTCAGGTATTTAGGTCATTAATACAATTATTTTTTAACAAGAAAAAAAAATTTAATTTTCAATAATAATTGCCAATCAAATAATTTTGGATGTCAACGCAACAAATTCTTCATCAATGAATTATTTCAAATCTATAATTAAGTCGTAATAGCCACTGGCTAGCCCTCTTAAAAATTTTAAATCAAGAAGATTCACACATATATCAAGATGTGCAGGCATGCCAAAAATGTACTGAAACTGTAATAAATCCAAATCTACCATCAGGATTAAAAAATGATTATTTTTTAATTTTTAATTCTTTTTCGAATTTTTGGACATGCTCAGGTACAAGGCTAGAATGCACAGGAACTGCGAAAAATTTAAAATGGTGAAATAATCTAAAAAATTCCTTCCGATTAGGAATACTGAGAAAAAATAAATATATTTTGACATACAATATGGTCCTAGTAAATTTTTGAAACTTTGATGATGTTCAGGTACGAGATGCAACTGGAACTGCAATAAGTCCAAAATGACAGATTGGACTTAAATAGTTCTATCAGATTTAAGCTCTTGACAATAAGGAGACGTGTTTTGATATATAACATGGTAGGTTTTTGGGGAAAAAAAATATTGGTCCACAAGTGGTACTGTCCAAAACTTTGACAGTCCATAACTCTTGCTGGTTATATCCGATTCCAAAAATTTTTACGGGACGAAATTGGACGTAATTAGGAGATCAGTTTTGATATATAATATGTATAATTAAAATTAATTTCGTAATTGGTTCCCGCTGAAAAAGTGAAGTTGGCGGGAAAGATACCCAAATATTGAAAGTGGTATATCCAGTCATAGGAAGTAGGACGAAAATATTTAATTACGGGACGTAAATGGACGTAATATGGACGTAATTCTGACAAAGTTTCAACTTGATCTGAGAACCTGTTCCCGCCAGCTTCACACACACCTTAAAAATTGTCGACAGGATTAAAAGATAAGAACGACATGATTCTCTAGAAAAAAATTACTTGCAAGATCCTTCATTTAACTTCAAAGGCAGTGCTGAATTTCACGGAAAAAATGGAAAATGTAAACAGAGGGAGCAATAAAACGGATGGAATTTATTCCAAAAGCATATATGCTTAGTATATTCATGGTTTAATGTTTTGATATTTTTTTTATATGTTGGAACTAAGAAGATAAATTTGAGAACAAAGAAAGTTTTGGAAGATACTTGAGGTCGCATATTAAATTCCCAATTTTTTTCTATGAATTTATCTGTTCGTGATTAAAGCTAAGGTTGATCTTTGTGATTTGGAAATGGCTATTCCATTCCTGATTGTGATAACATTTTAAATTTTTTTTGAAGGCCCGCCCAAGATTACACATTGTTAAGCATCACCATGACAATATTATTCAATCATTTTCTCTACTAAGTTAAGGACGATTTCAGAGACATCAAAATGCTGGATCTAATGCGATTAATTTCCAATTTTTATAGTCTCTTGAGCACTCACCGATCAAATTGACATTGAGGATGTATAAAATCTGATGTTGCTTGGTGATAAATTCCCAAATGATTTTCATATCATTTTTTTGCGGCGAATCAAAAAGTTGGATAGCAACAACCTTAGTTTTGTGACATTTTGTGATAAAATAATTGTTAAATGATTACCTTTGTAGAGAATTTTGAGCTGGAATCTTGTATAATCTTGGATAATATTAAGGTCTTAAATAAAACTTGATTTAGATTTAAATGGTTCCGAATTAATCACAATCTTTAAATTTTTAAACTTTACACAATTTAAAACACACACAATTTGAATATTTTCACAAATTTCATGACCAACTTTGATCAAATTTTCCTTTCAAGTTTAAAAAACATTCTTAACTTTATAGTTGTAATAAATAAAATTTGCTAGAAGCATCAATCGTACAACTCATAAAAAATAATTATGTTGCAAATCAAATTCATTTATTGCGACTTTATTTGTTTCCACATTAATACCTAATTCCATTTCGAGGCATTTACTTGAGAAATCAATAATGCGATTGTGTTTCCTATTTTTACCCTCGCAATCCTCAATCATTCTCTTTCAAATTAAAGCACGAAAGTACAAAGATTTTACCGTTCGTGATTTATTGTCAAGACTTTATTTGAGTAAGAACCTCAATCCTACCTATTTCATTGTTACGATTTCTTATTGCTTATTTCATTCATTAAATGAAATTACATTGCAGAAAAAAAAATCAATGTAGGAATATAAAGGAATAGATTAAAAGGAGGAGGATACATTAAATATTGATATTGAATAAAGTTTGATAATCTTTTTCTTGTTTTTATTGGAAATTCATTATTTCTAAATATATCTGAGTAAAGGAAGTGATTGTTCTTCGTCAGGAAAAATAATTATAATTAATTGGTGATATGAATTATTTAGGGAGGTAAATAAATTTTATTAAATATTGTTCAGTGTGGGAGAAAGACTATGGCAAGAAGCAACTTAGCCAATGTCTTATGGAGTCAGTATTCATCAATATGATTAGTTGCTTGATGCAATTAGCGTATTCAGAGTGGGGAATTATTGGCTTGTCGTAAAAATGTAAGGGTAAGTTTTAGGATTGATTTGTTCATAAACCCTGGCAAATTCAAGAAATGATTCAAATTGGGGGGAGGGGGCAACTACTACAACACTGTTCTTTAATTTTTTCTAGGTTTAGTTTCAGGGGTTTAGCCAGTAAAAAGAAGAGGGAGAGACAAAACAAATTTTGTATTTAAAATTTCTTAAAAACTCTTGACGAAGGGAGATCTCCCCCCCCCCCCCCTCCTCCTCTTCCTTGGCTTTGCACCTGTTGAGTATAATTCTAGGATAGAAAGATCAAACCTTACGCTGGACCCAATCGAGAAATATTGCTTATAAAGTCGTTAGCACATTTATTCTCTGAATTGATTGTTTTCATGTCATCACAGGCGCGTAGCCAGGGGAGGGGCGATTTGGGAGAGAAATCCCTCTCCTTTTACAAAAATCTCTTCATTTTGTTATGAATAATTTGTCACATGTAAAAATCTTAAAAATAATATTCGAACCCCCTCCCCACTATAAATTTTTGTGCCCCCTCTTCAAATGCCTGACTCTACCCCTGTGTCATTTATAATGGCTTATAACATTTTGTAGTACTGATGATTCACTAATCTCTTTAAATTCAGTTTAATTGAAATTTTGTTGAATAATTTCATTTTTAAATTTCACAAAAAAATTAATAAGGTATTTAAATTATATCTAGGTATTTGGATATTTAAAAACCATTGATTTTGCATGGATTAATAAAATTCCCCAAAATTACCAATCATTCAAAAATTAATTTCGCAAAGTTCAAATAAAACTCATTAACATCTGCCATGCTTATTAGAATTTTTTCAAACTATTTGCAGCTACAATTACAACAAGGAACGTCAAATTGTTTATAATTCTTTTTCTCATGTAAAACATTCCGTTAATGATCATCATGAAATGCATTTTCATCTCATTGTACGAGAGCGAATGCTCATAATCTTCCAGTTCATACATAAATACTATAATTATGCAGCACATGAGAATTTCCTCTTTATGTATGTAGCATCAGCATCAGTTCAAAAGGAAAGGAAAAAAAAAACTCAAACATATGGTTGAATAATAACAAAAACAATAACTCAATGCATGTATACATTATTTTTTTGCCGTCTGATAATCTTAACTTCTCATTTTTTTTTTCGTTTATGCTTCTGATGTTTTTCTTCGCCTTTTAGACGCTCATCATTTACTCTCATCTCAAATTTCAGTTAGTCTGACTTGAACGTTTGTTGAATAAAGTTTTAGGAATAAGAATAAAATAAAAGTTGAGTATTTTTTTTTTGTTCTGATTTCTGTTTCATAAGTGATCTTTTTGTTGCTACACATTTAAGATTATGTTGAGAGTGTCTGATGGGAATAAGTTGGAATGGCTGATGTGTTGTTATTTGTGACTTTTGTGTGCAAAAGTTTATGGAAACTTTATGATGGGTCATAAGAAAGAGACTTTTTGATTGCGATCGTGCAAGGGATGGAAACTTTTGTGGTGTAAATGGATTGATTGATTTTAGTCGGGGATTCTATCAAGTCGATCATCTAAAAAGAAGTTGGGAAATTTGTGACAGGGGTGCATGAGGGTCTAAAAGGTATGTCCTACAATGTTAAGATGTGTCATCTAGAATTAAATCAATTTAACTTCTATTTGCAATCACAACCAATTCGCCATGATGAGGTCATGGTTTAAAGCAATCATGAATAAAATCGTGCGACTAATCAGATTTTCGGACATCTGCTTTATTCTGCCCAGGGGAATCTTTAAAGGGACGGAAGCTAAAAAACTTGGGATTTTTTTACACAAACCCTAGCAAAAAATAAAGAAATTTCTGTTTACGTAGAAGGAGCCCCCCCCCCCTCATAGCTCCGCACCTGATCCTGCCACAGAAAGTAGTTCTCAGTAAAGATTTAGCTTAGTACCATCCAGTGTCTCTTCCATTGACTGTATGAACTCCCGTACTTAAATTAAAGCAAAAAATCCACAAAAGTGACAATCCATTGATTCGCAAAAATACATTTAAAACACACTTCCATTTAACCTTTAATTCCTAAACCAAGGAAATGAAAACAAGATGCAAATGACGATTTAAATCCAGCGACATAAAAGTGAAATATTTATTTATTTTTCCTTCTAGATTATTAGACACAAAATACGTATTAAATACGAAAAAAAAATCTAATAACCTCTTCAATATTCAAGTGACCTCAAATAGAATGAACCACTTAATTTCCTTTATTGCTGATAAGAACACTCATTTATGTGCTAACAGAAATCTGTGTGTTTTTGTATTCATTTTCAATCTCAACATTCGCTGGATGTTTTGTGATTAATGCGATTATATTAATTAATGACTATTATTTTGGATATTTATTTATCATTTGCTGAATGAGTTTTTAAGCACATCTACAGGTTATTGTATCAATATTATTATACGCAATAATATGGAATGTCGGTCCATTAAATTATTGTTCTCTATTCAACTGATAACATTTTATGCACATTTTTGTTGTGAAATAATTGCGTAGACTTGATTTAATCATGAAAATTAAGTAGGCACTTCTAAATCTGACTCATATCCTCGAGCAAATAACTTTTTGTCATGCCTTTTTATTTGATTTGATTGTTCTCCATAAATGAGAAAAGTTATTAAATTAGAAAAACATGAAGATTTTATTTGAATTCCATTACATTATTGCGAAGCTATTATTAGACACATTTAGCATTGAAGGCAATTTAGGGAAATTGTTGCTAGAGAGAAAACGATGACTTTATGGAAAAATTTTAATGGATTTTTCTTGCTAATAATTTTATTACAAATTTATTAGCATTTTCAATATTCGACTTCATAAATATATTTTGGAGATTAGTTTGACTTTTGTTTAATTGAAAAGTTGAGAAGTTTAATGGAAATTTTTGGTAATTAAATTAAATCATTATTGACTTTACAATGCAATTCAATTTTTAACGTAGAAATGAGTTATTCATTCGTTGGTTTTGTTATTTTACTAGACAAGTCTTTTATGTCATAGCTGACACATGATATAGATCCAGGGCCTGGTTTCTAGGTCTGCCCGGGCCACTCTAAGGCTGAAATTAATTTCGATGTAGGACAATATGGGAAACCTAGAACTGGGCCCCGGGTGGTCCATTAAACCGAATGCAAATCGACTACAAACTCCGTATTGCTCCAAGTGATCAGAAATGGAGTTTTGTGTCTATAAAAACGGGGATTGATATTATATGAACGGATTTGGACCCTAACGAGAGATTTGCCTTAACTCGCTCCTAAACTCTACTAAAGCTATTCAGAATATTCAAGCATTTTAAACATCAATCTATCCCAAAAAAGAAGTAACCTAAAACCTCCCATTTCCAATCAACTCATTATATTTTACAAAAAAAAGACAAATTGAATTTTTACGCGTTTACATTAACTTCAAACACTATAGTTGAAGTCTTTAAATAAATCACTCATCATTTATTTAAGAAAAAAGAAAGATGTAACTGTACATTCATCATGTGCATCCCATCATTCAACGCTTCCCGGATCATTTGAAAATAAATTGAAACTTTTTCAGCTGTAGAAAAATGAAATATTTAATTCCATTTATATTTTTCGCATAAATGCACTATGCAACGAGATAATTTTGTTATTGTGAGAATGAAATGACCAGATTGAGAGCGTGAGAAGAGAAAATGAGTTGAAAGAGATTAAAATCCTCATTTGTGTGGATGTGACTAGTTGATTAAAATTAAAGCCACGCTGTTTTGATTTATTTTACTGTATTTATTTATATTTTTTAATGATAAGAAAACAAGAGATTGTTTGTGACTGATTTATTTATTTATTTCGTCTAGAAAATCATAAAACTATGAAGTGGCATAAATTGCTACTGATGATTGCTGCATTAGCTTTCATAGTTGGCACATTCGCAGAAGAAATTGAAATTCCTGATGACATTGATGATGAGGATTTGGATGAAGATGAGGAAATTTTGAGATTGTTGGAGGAAAATAGAATTGTAAGTTTGTAATATCATTTGCTGCATGATATTTTGAAGATTTTAAATTCCGAAAAAATAATTAAAGGAGGTTCTTGGGGCCAAAGCCCTGAGCATATAGTCAATTCCTTTAATTTAATGGGAACTCCCATTTAGCAGTCAAGTTAAAAATTCCCTAAACAAAAGTTTGAGCTCTTCCAACAAAAATCCACAATAAATCCCAAAACTCACATCAATCTCAATTTTCAGATGGAAGATTTAAATCGTGAAAATCAAAAAGCTAGAGAAGAAGCATCAAAATACAAACAACAGCACGGTGAAACAGCAGCATCTGACACAGGATTTATCTGTAAGACAATTTTATAAAATCATAATTATGACATCTACTAATTCCATTCTCATCTCCCACTAGACGATCCATGTACAAAGATCCACTGTCAAGCTGGTCGTATTTGTCAAGTGAATGATAATTCAGCTGAATGTGTCTGTGTACCTGAATGCCCAGAAGAATATGATCCACGTCGTAAAGTTTGCACAAATCGTAATGAAACATGGGCAAGTGACTGTGAGGTTCATCAACAACGTTGCTTTTGCGATACGAAGGATTCACGCTGTAGAAATCCAAAAAATTCTCATATCCACATCGACTATTATGGACAATGCAAGGAAATTCCAGTAAGTATAAAATTTTTGTAAAAAGGTTAAAGCTCTTACTGCAAAAGAATTTTGCGGGGTTAATGACTGGACATTATATTCAGTTATTTCAAGCTTGAATTCATATCTTGAAAGGAAAAAATTTTCCGTTGGTTTATTTTCCAAATCACAGGCACGAATAAATGAGCCAAATAGCATTTACATTCCTAATTCATATTTTACATTCGCTGACTTTATTTTCCTTCCTCATAAAATCCACAATTTCTGCTTTTGGTATTCACAAAGCGTAAATTAATAAATTACTTTTTTTCTCCAACAAACTGTTTACAGAGATGTAATGAAGAGGAAATGCTCGACTTTCCACGTAGGATGCGCGAATGGCTCTTCCACGTCATGAAGGAACTTGCCGAACGTCAGGAACTTGATAGAAAATTAGCTGACAAGATATCGCATGTTGAGAGTGAATTGAACAAAAAATGGGCTCGCGCTGCTGTCTGGAAATTCTGTGACCTCGACGCTACACATGATCAATCCGTATCACGTCACGAGCTCTTCCCAATTCGTGCTCCATTGTTGTCACTTGAACATTGGTAAGAATATCAAAATTATTCTGTTTTGACCGAGTTTACAGTCAAAAGTCATGCATGAACTTGACCTTTGATAATAATGACCAAGTTTGTTGTTGTGTGAATTGTTTTGGCAGTTGTTTACCAACTTTATGTTGAGAAAATGACTATTGAAATTTAATTATTCAAGAAATTAGTCCATTGGGTGGAGGCATTTGCGTGCTTTCTCGAACTTTTCTTTTAAAAAGTTTGTTTGTAAAGTTTGTTTGAATTGGGGTGTAGCCAGGAGGATCCGGAACCTCTTGATATTATTTTAATGATTTATTTTGAGCAAACCTTAAGAACCCAAGATGGTGGACTAGCTCTTCATTATCTAAAATCCAAAACTCCGTCTGTTAACATCCAGCAATACAATTAACTTCCTTCTTCTCATCCTAGCATCGCACCATTCTTAGAAAGCTGCGATTTGGACAGAGATCACAGAATCACTCTTAAGGAATGGGGCAAGTGTTTGGAGTTGGAAGATGGTGACTTGGAAGGTCGCTGCGAAGGAATCATTGTCAAAAGCTCTTCAAAAAATAATGAAGTTTAAAGCCACACAAGACGGAATGTCCAGCAAATAAGCTTTCCAACCTACATTTGATTAAATAATCTTGTATAAGTTATCTATCTGAAATGTTTATGATTATATAATTAGCTTTTTTTTTGCTGTAAACTTTCATACGAGAAATAGAAAGATTTTAATAAAGTTAATTATCTATGTGTGCCATAACTCATCTCTGATTGTGTATTTTATTTATCATTATCTATAGCCTTCCTTTTTATCAATAGGCGTCTCACTCGTATCTATTAAGAACATATTATGCATCATTAGCCATTTATATAGGCAAACGGAAAGTAGATTACGTTTCGTTAACATTCCTCATTTAATATTCGAAAAAATAAGAAGTTAAAACTTAATTATGGCACGTGGTACTAATTTTTTCGCATTAAATGCGTGAAAGTATGGTCCGTGCTATGTCGAAATAATTTACACGAATATCTTTATACAGTTATTTAACAGATTCTTGTTTCAGCTCTGACTTGAGCTCTAGAATTAGGCTTTATAGCTTGTTTAATTTTGAATATGATTTTCTCAAATTTTTCGGTGTTTATTTTCTGATAAACCATGACCTTCATGTGACTGACCAGCGATTGTGTGAAAAATTAGCAGGAACTTTATGACAGAAAAGTTAATGAGGACATTGTTTGATTTGGATTTTTTTATGGTTGTATGAAAAGTTTTTTTGGACATTTTGATAATTTAGACGGAATTTTACTGATTTGGCGTTTCAAATTAAAGATTTATGGTCGACAGGTGCCGTATGACCATGAGTAGCCATGGTTAATATTTAATTTGGTTTTTGACATCTCTTTGATGACTTTAAAGCAGTGTTTCTTAAACTATGTTCCGAGAAGCTTTACTGTGCTGCGAAAAAATTCTGTATGTGTCATATAGCGGTTGACAGCGTGGTGCGGAAACATTAAAGGATGATCTACTGCCCTGTGGCCTAAAAAAATTGAGAGACATAGCTTTAAATCCTTACTAAGAGTATCAAGTTCCGAGCATCGTGGCATGAAATAGTATACAATCATGCCAGTGACAATGTAAGGTCTCTATAGCCGAATTGATGTTCTGTGAAGCGATAATCTTTAAACTTGTCTTTCGGAATGATCTGTGTTCGATTGCTAATGATGAGCAAGATCTTAGGGGTCGTTCACTTGAACTGTCACAAAATCCTAGACCCCCCTCCCCCCTAAATGTCGGACGTCATAAGTGAACGGCCGCTTATTTTGATTTCACACACAGTGTGTTATTGACTTTACACTCATCATGCACTTTAATGCTAAAATGGAGTAAAAACACGATTTCCTTCGAATTCAATTTGTAAAATCATAGAAAAGAAAGCAACAAAATTGAAGCTAATGGCTTCCTTGGAACAACAAATTACCAAAATGTGCCAAATAAAAATCCCACACACACACAATGTACCACTCTATGAAATTTCATGAGTATCATCTAATTATCATAATGAATAATGTGGTTTTAATGTAAATAATTTGACATTTATAATTACATTCATTCATGAATAATTCATAAACATCTACTTCCTACATACAATACCCTCCTTCCCTTCTTTTCATCTCAACATCAACACGAAAGTAATGTTATTATCTTAATTAAATTGCAACAATCGCATTTATAGCTAAAAAGAAAAAAAGAAAGAAATTGAAACTCTTGGGTGGAAGGAGAAGGCAAAATTTTCACAGTCTAATCTCCTTTCAGACCTATAATCCGATTAAATACTTGAGTTCCGTTGACATTGTCATTGATTAATATCATCATCACAAAATGTACAATCTAAAGATTACTGAAGAAAATCTACAATGACATAATAACAATTGAATATTTTTATTGCCATTCTCGGTTCCTCCTAACAACTTGCCATTTTAAAAAAATTGAGATTGCAATCACTTTTGGGATTTTATTTTGAAAAATTGATTTTGAATTTATTTTAATTCGAAAGAGTATTAAGGCTTCCACAATTCAATTGTAGTCAAAAGGAACAGAATTTTGTCAACATAAAGAACAAAGAATTGACATTCGAAATGACCTGAGGGGGATATTAAAAGGTTGAAGAGGGATTTAATTTCTATGGTTTCGTCATTACCAGAATTAGCTATAGTTTTACATTATTGTCATCCAATAAAAATGAAATTAGAGAAAGTTGAAGACATTCGATTTTGTTGTTGTGGCTGTGTCGCATTTCGTTATTGGTTTCTTTAGTTAAGTAAGCAGAAGCTTGGATAATACGAAAAGGTATCTTCTTCCTTCTTTTTTTTATGGGGTGGAATTGACTTTTTGCTTACTCAAACCTTTAAGTTTGCAATGGTAACAGTTTGTTTGTATTATTTCAGTTTTGCAGCATAACTTAATATCACTCCGTGTAACCTGGATCCTAGAAAATTGGTATCTTTTGTCCTGGCCAGGCACGTAGCCAGGGGGGGGGGGAGGGAGATTTGGGGGACAAATCCCCAACGTAAACAGAAATTTCTTTATTTTGCTAGGGTTTTTTTTTACAAAAATACCCCCCCCCCCCCCCTCTTAATTTTTTCCATACAAAAAAAAATTTTTTCCCCCTCTTCAATTTCCTGGCAACGCCCCTCGTTCTGGCATAGCCAGGGACTTTAAAACATCACGTCCATTATTAGCTACTCAACAACTAGAAATTAAAGCTTCATCAAGCTATTTACAATCTTTAGTCAATTACATTTGTTTTTCTCCCAGCGATCCACCAAAGTTTAAATCCTTTGAAGTGAAATTCAATCAATAAATCATCTGTTTCTTGTTATTATGTCTCCTTATTGCGCCTTAAAGCTTGAAAATCCGTTGCGGTAGATGAAAATATAAGAAAACCCAATTATACCATCATTATTCCCATTTTATTGATTTTTTTTCGCTTATCGTTTCAGTTACTTTTGTTAAGAGAGCACTAAAGGGAAAATAAGGCAAACGACGAGAAAAGAAATGAAAAATGAGAATCCTTAATCCTTTTTTTTTGGTCATTCTGTTTGCTGTGCTAGGAGTCTCCATTGTTTGACTTTCATGATTTTATTACGAAGCGTATAAATTAAGAAGTAGAATAGTATGATTGTTGGTAGCTGCTTTATTGTACTTTTCTCTCTCCTTCTCTACAATTTTATGATGATGATGGTAGATTACAGTACGTGTATATTTAAATAGCTCACGATATCGCGCTTAAATGATTTCCTTTTATTTCTTTTGTACTCTGCTTTTTGTACTCCTCATTCATCTACTCATTGTTTAAAGCATGATGAAATTAATTTTATTTCCTTTTGCAACATAAAAGCCATTACATTGCATCAAAAGAGCGGTGGATAAAACAATAAGGACCCTGACTGAGTTAGTTTTGGGGTGGAGTTTGATGTGAGTGCGCTTTTTGTAAAATAATAAAATTTGGATCCCATTTTCAAGGAATATTCAAGAATATGCACAACCATTACTACTCCAGGATTGGTACATTTTCTGGAGGATTCCAATTATCCGCAAACCGTCAATTTCAACATACCAGAGTCTACCAGAGTCATTACAACCAGCCACTTTCGAAAGACAAAAAATATTGAACCTAGTCAATTACCTTCGAGATATTATTTTAATTATAACTAGGGTGTATCATAGCTATAACGTTGGCAGCATTCACTGTGTAACTGCAATGAGTCAGCCACGACTGACACAATAATTCTAAAATGAGTCAAAATGAATCATAAAATGAATGCTTTTAACCAGCAGACTCTGTGTATATATTTAAAATATAAAAATGTAAAAAGGCGCGAGAAACGAGAGGAGTGAAAGAAATTATTTAATTATAAGTTCTGGCGCCACTTTTTAGGGAGCGCAAAATAAAAATATAAAAAAATACCACACAAAGAATTATTATTAAAGTAATAAAAATAAGCCAAATGAGAAGTAGAAAATTTATATAATTAATAACATGCACGACGAAACGTTGTAATCCCATCCAATGGTATGAAAAATTGTTTTATACGACACTAAATTATGGCAACAAATTACTCTTGTGCCCAAGTTTAACGATGAAAGGAATTTTCTTTGCCTTTCTTCTGTGCTTTTTTCTCATAAATGTAGACACATATAAAAGTGAAGATGGAGAAAAGGCGAAAATGCAGATAAGCCTCTCGAATTTATCAAATATTGACCGTTTATTTAAAGTTTTATGCAGTTTTGGGAATTAATCTCGAGTGTATTGGCTTTGGTAATGCTTCTGACTTAGTTTTGAATTTATTTACAAACTATTTTATTAAATAAATTTGGGACATCAAAATTCTCATAAATTTGTCACATTATATTTTCATAATATTCATTAAATTTAAGCTTCATCAGATTCATTTTGACTTAAATCATTTCTTTTCTTTGTACAAACATTGAAACACCACAATTTTTGTATCGCATTTCTAAAATCATCTATACGATAAGCGTATAAAAATGGATGAATAATTGAATTAGAGTGAACTAATAGGAAAGCAATCAATTCTGAATTTGAAAATAAATTTGATTCGAATTCATCTTTTTTAAAACAAAGTATATGAATTGGGATCCAAGTTAATGATTGGAGTAATTGATTGGTAGTTTCACATGTCGTAGATTTTAATTTTCGTTCGTTGTTTATCTAAAATTATTAATTCGGGTAATTATTTGTTCGACAAATTAAAAGATAAAATTCCTTACTTGCTTTAAAATTATTTTATAAATTTTGAAGTTGAAAATAATTAGAATAATTGTAGGAACCACTACAAAAACCATGCAACGGATTAGAAAATACTGATTAAATGTCATATTTATTGAAGTTTCAACAACTATCACAGGAAGTCCTGGAAAAAGCTCCTAAGACCCAGCAGAAAATGATTTCTATAGAAATACGCATTTTTGAATCCTTTTGTGCTGCGGCTGAAATTTTTGACTACAAAAAAAAATTTATGACAAAACAATTAAAATGTATGGTGAATGGTATATTTACCAAAATTCTGTAGCGACCAATGGTTATGAAAATCAAGTTTAAGATAGTAACATTTCCAAATGTAATCATCAGGAGAAAACGAGAAACAAAAATTATTTCGCTTGTTGTAAAATTTAAATTTCCTTGTTTTGCAATTATAAATGCTATTAAAAATATTCCAAATAAATCCAATATAAAATCGG